TGTGTGTGTGTGTGTGTGTGTGTGTGTGTGTGTGTGTGTGTGTTTTTGTATTGAACTCCCCCGTGTGTGCAGAGACACGACTGTTCGCACACTTTCACACAGATGCCTGGTGTCACCTATGGAGGTATCATCCCTTACAGTCAGCCTGGGATGATCATTGCACCTGCTAATTACCATCTCCAGCTGGAGACTTAAATGGAGATCTGTTCAATGTCTGACCTTTGACCCCATGCTCTTTATGTGACGCACTTCAAACCCTGTTTGGGGCTGTCTGGGCCGGGCCTTAATGAGGCCCCATGTCTGCCCTCTGTGGGCTGTGCGCCTTGGACGCCCCGCTTTCATCCCCGACTATCTTCCCTTGATGTAAATTGAAAAGATCATAGCTATGGGGAGAAGACCTGTACTGGAAAGGCCTCTCTGCATAGATTATGAATATCATAACTCAACAATTTTTTTTTCTTTCTCTCTCTTTCCCTCAGCCACCCACTCCCCTCTCTTCTCCTGCCACCCCTTCCCTGTACAATGCTATAGTTCTAATTGGACCCAATGGGGGAGTCTCTGCCTTTGATCTCATCACCGCCACTGTGACTTTACACTAAAAAATGTCACTGCCAAATAGGGTTATCACCTGTAGAGCCTGGCCTTCCTCTGATGCCTGTACGCATCTCGTTAGCTTCACTCACACTGTAGAAGTTAATTAGTTTGACAGAGCCATTACTGTGGAGGCATACCTGATGATTGTGGCGTAGGCACCGTACTCAAACTACAATTACTAAATACACGTTTATTTTTTCTGTCGGGAACGTGAACGAGCAGCACCTGCGTCGAACGCTTTGATTTCTATTAGCAAAAACGATGTTCGTACAACAGTGTTTGACTCGATTCGGTGACAATTTAATTAATACACGTGATTAAAGAATATATTTTTCATGCATCTTAGGAATAAATGTGAAACTTTGAACTCGTCACTCAGTTGCCCGTTTCTTTGACTTTAGGAAGTTAAAACAGTAGCGACTGTGCCCCAGCCTCATTAAAAAGTGTTTGCCACTGGAGTGCTCTCACCCATTCAAAGCTGTTGTACAGAGCTGTGCGAAGAGTAAACTTCTCTATCCTGTCTGCTCTGACAGTCTTTGGGGTATGCCTCCCCCTCTTAGACTGACAGTGTGTTCACTTTGATTTTCCCACCCAAAAAAAAAAGACAATTTAATGATTTGCAAAAAAAGAAAAGAAAAAAAATCAGTGATAATGCACATAAACATGAAATATTAATTCCAGAAAGGGCTGTACATAAACATTAAAGCTTTTAGTACAATGAGTGAATATGGAGATGACACTTGTTAATTTAACCATGATAAACTTTCTGTTTGATGCCTGGAAGCGTTTGCGATGGCAGCGCAGGGATGTCGTGGAGAGTGAGGAGGCCCAGGGGAGCGGAATCAACACTGTTCGTTTTGTCTTTGTCCCAGTTTAAGACCGCCACTCTCCGTCTTGTGTTTCTTCTTTGTCTTTCAGCCTCACTGTTCCTCTCACACTTTGCTTCTCCTCCTCAAAATCCTCCGGGCTAATTGCTGACACCGGGCTGTGATATCCAACTAATGCTGCTATTTCACAGCATGATATAAATAAATAATTACAAGCCTTATAAGCCCTTAAAGGAATGCCTATCGCCCTCTGCCTTTCATCCCATAGTTTGATTAAGATCGTTTAAGAAATGTCATTGTCTTGGTCAAACCTTGAAAATTATTTCAGAGTTTGTGTTGTGAGTGACTTTCAATGACAGCTACTTATGATTTTACTTCATTATCTGTAAACTCAACTGAATTTTAGCTGTTTTTGTGTTGCTAGTGTCAATTAGCTGTAGCATTTGTCTTGAATCTTGAAAAGTTAATTAGATGTAGATGCAACGCACATTTTCATATACATCAACTGCAACTAGAGAATTWGCATTTTCTGCAAAAAATACAGCATGAATGCTTAATACTGAAAGATTGTTACAGGAAAATAATGTAAAAAAGCTAAAAAAAATAGCTAAAAAGTAGCTAAAATAGCTGTAAAAGCTGAAATTAGTACAAAGAAGAAAAAGAGCACATTTGCTGAATTAAACTGATGAGAGAAGTAGCTTAAAGTAAGGTGACATTAGCTGAGAGAGGCTCAAATTAGTTGAAAATAGCTAAAACTAGCTTAAATTGCTCAGAACGGCTAAAAGAAGCATGAAAGGCTTTAATTGAGTCAGACCATTAATACAAAAAGAAGCTGAGAGAAGCACAAAGAAATTGGATTACCAGAATAGTTGAAAAGAGCAGAAAGATAACTAAAAAAAAAGCTAATATTAGCAAAAAGAAGCTGAAGGAAGCTAAAATTGGCACAAAGAGCCAAAACAAAATGTGTAAAATGCAGTAAAGATTTAACAATTTTGAATGACTTTTAAGAATATTGATACAGCTTCAGTGATTTTCAACAAGAACAAAAACGGCCAAAAGAAATTAAACATCTCAAAAAGTATAACTTGTTGAAACACCAAAAGTCATAGCTGGAATGTCCTGAAGGAGCTGAATGTTTTGATATATAAATTGTTGAAATAGCACAAAAGCTGCAGAAGAACAAACAGAAAAACATACGGAAGAAAAAAAAATCTCTGAGATTGCATGGTAACATTCATTCAAGTAGACCTAAAAAAAGAAATGGTTTAAAATTTTACAACACGGGAAGAGAACTTGACACAACCTCATTTCTTATATTCCAGCCACCAGTTAAAGTATAAAAATGAATGGGACATATAAAGATAGTATGGTGCTTTAGGGACATGGATGCTGATACACACCTGTAGTGTAGAAGCACCACACACACACACACACACACACACACACACACACACACACACACACACACACCACAGCATTGTTTTAAAGGATGATTAAATTGGACCGCTGAAATTTGCGATGCAGCGTTAAATGGAAAAACCAGACTGCTAACCCTAAATGGTAATTTGTTCTGTTTCTGGATGGCTTCACACATACTTTTGAATTTCACACACATGAATTTCACGTGCAGTCAGCTTGCTTGTCCCACATTAGGAAAGCAAAACAATCTTTATCGCAGACGTTTTGGTTTGCTTGTGTCGTTTGCTCTTCTTCTGCAAAAAGACTAACGTTTTTTTCCTGCTAAATTTATATGAAATGTAGCATAAACAACAAAAAGCAAAATTAAGAATTTCTGCTAAAACATTTTGCGTTAACTGCGGAGAAATCCCTTTTTAAAATAATGCCTTGTGCTCCAACCAACAGGCAACTTTACAGTAATTTAGACTTTGCTGTTGAAGCCAGTGAAACGTTGTGCTTTGGTGCAAACATGGCACAGCCCACACAGAGAGAGCGACAGTCCCTCACTACATGACATCACTACTGTATCTCTGCCTCCTCCTCGCACCTCCCACAGCACAGTCAGACCACTGCTGAGCAGGTGAGGAGAGCCTCTTGACAACTTCCTTCCCTGACTCCCCAGGGCCCGGTGGCCAGGGTGAATCTTTTGTCATCCTGAAACAAGCTCGGGCCTGCTGCTGCTGCTCCTCCACTCTCGCCTGGAGTCCTGGAAGACGGAGCCAGGAGAGAGTGGGGGGTGGGGGCAGAAATAATTAAAGACGTTTTATGTCAAGATTCCCTTTCTAGAGGGGATCTGGGAGAGCCAGGAGGGGAGGGGAAAGCAGCGGGTCTGGATGGAGAGAGCAGGAGAGTAAGACATGGAGACAGAAATGAAAAAAGAAAGAAGGTGATGGCGGGGGAAGAGAGGCTGAAAGGGGATGAGTAAAGATGTGAGCTTCTATTTCCTCCTCTATAGCCCCCCCACTCTCTCCCGCCGCCCCCCCATGTGCTGCTCAATTAGCAAAGCAGCAGGTGCTCCCAGCAGCACAACAGAGAAGCTTGGAGGAAAGGCTCAAGCTTCTCTCTTTCTCTTCTATTCCTTTTTTGAGATGACCTGCAAATGTGATACTTCACACCCAGAATGGGCTAGCTGTTTCCTCCACCAATTTCAGAGGTGATAATTTAACTTTTACCCTTCCCTCTCTCTCTCTCTATCTCTCCACCTCCCCCCAACCCCTCTGCCTTTATCACTTCCCATGTTTTTCTCGTCCACGTTCTCCCTGCGTGTTTTCTGCCAGGTGTCCTCTCTGAAGAGCAAGCTGAAGAAGCAGTCGACGGCGACAGGAAGCGGCGTGGCGAGGGCCTTCCTGAGAGCGCAGGCTGCTCTGTTTGGGTCCTACAGAGACGCTCTGAGATATAAACCTGTAAGGACACCTGAGTTCTCATTTTTAGATGAAGACCCATGTTCATCTTGTTTTTTTAATATCAACCAGGGTGTCAAACTCATTTTCACTGAGGGCGACGCCAGCATTATGGTGGTCCTCAAAGGGYCAGTTGTAATTAACTTTGAGGTTTCATGTTTAACTTCGACTAAACAGAACTTYGTGTTCCTCGCCTCTTAGCTAAGGCTGAGCATGACTAACAAACAGTAACTGAGCTCTACGTGGTATCTCTTGCATAGAAACAGTGTTTTAACACATCCTCTTATAAACATTGAAAGGTACTATATTTACATCTGACTAAATGAGAAAGAAATAATACAGAAGTACTAAAAAAGTAAAAGTAAGAGTTAGCAGTCGCTATCCTAAATTTTGAACTCTCAGTTTTCCAACAGGGATTTTCCATGCATAATCAACATGGGGGCTGTAGTTTAGGGTGAATGCTGGCTTTAAAGCAACTTATTTATTCAGGACTGTTCAAGTAAATTACTCAGGAGCCACAGTTAGTTAAAGCCAACAGCTCAGGGGCAGGGCATGTATTATCTTTCACTTTAAGTTTGTTTATTTTGTTGCATTGAATCATAAATTAAAAGGTCACCATTGATACAAACATATTTTCGTACTAAATTAAGTATATATTAGGGCTGCCACGATTAGTTGTCTTGTCAGGATTTTGTTGACTATTAAAATCGTCAACTAATTTAATAGTTAATGCGTCGTTTTTTTGTTTTTTTTTTCTCTCCAAACTGCTGCGGCTGCTTCCACTGCCACGTCTGCCTTTCTGTCCTTGACTCACATGTGCAGTAGTGGTAATTAGGGCTGCCACAAACGACTATTTTTATACCCGACTAATTGGTGATTAGTTGACTATAAAAAAAATTGTAAAGTTAGAAAAAAAAAACGATGCATTGACTATTAAATTAGTCATTGACGATTTTAATAGTCGACTAATTGTGGCAGCTCTAGTGTGTGTGTGTGTGTGTGTGTGTGTGTGTGTGTGTGTGTGTGTGTGTGTCGGAGCTCATAGAGCTTGGGCACATTCATGTTTGTTAGCGAAGCAGCAGCGTCACAGAGTGTGTGCGTTGACGGAAAAGTGTGTTTGATCAAAAATAAAACTTCACCGCCTTTCACCTCAGGGAGATGATGTCATGCTCTTGACAATGAGTGGTGATGCTKGCAAACAGCTGACTTTTCTCAAGATTGTGAAAAATATTAATCTCTGTCCTGCAGCTGCAGCATGACATCATGCTTTATGTTTTCACTTGCAAGAAATTCGGTTATTACMCACTAACCCAGTCATCCAGTAATTTCTATTTTTAAATAAAATTGGCTGTTTTATTTCTTGTTTGAAAGTATATAAATTATAGCATTTTTAACAGGATATTTGCATGAATATGGCAGAAAACCTTTGCTGTAGCACT